ATTCGGGAAATTTCCGATTACAACACTGGTAAAAACGGCCAGCTTTTGTCTTTTGTACAAGTAAGCAAACAAAGCGGGCGAGTTTCGCGTTGCGGGCTACAAACCCGTAGTTGCCAGGTTCGATCCTCTGTTGGAGCGATTGCGAAAAAATTTTTTGTTTTTATAATTCATTTTATATTTTTGTTTAATTTTGTTTGATTAATATATTTAATTTTACTTTATTTTATTTTCATTTGCTTTATTTTATATCCCATTTTTTATTTTACTATAAGTTAATTTAAATTTTTAGAGTTGAATTTTATTAAAAAGTCAACAAAAACTAACTGAAAGCAACGTAAAACAAGTAAGAGCAGCGCTGTCTTCGGCTATGCCGAAGGCTTCATACCTTTCATGAACATCTGCAAATTTTACTTTGACAGATTACTGCTTTTGAATACATCTGCATACATCGATAGAGGAGTTACATACTTATATAAAAAATCGCATCTAAACAATCAGAGGTATGGAAGATATACTTTATATGGCACCAATCTAAGTGATTTTCACTGCTATGTGATCGGTATGTAAACCGGTAACACTTTTATAAATCAAACATGTTCCCTTAAAATCAAATTTGGGAACATCAAAATACATTTTAGACCTATGTATGTGTTTATTTATGTATAAGAATTTTTTGTTCGTAATAACAAGAGGAATCTTCATACCGACGGGCCGGTATCGAAAAATTGTATGCTATACAAATCGCCCCGGACCATTGTACATACACACAAACGTACATATGTAGATATCTACTCATACTGAAACACTTGTGTAACGAAGTTCAACAAATTTGTAGTTTGTATCATTTAATGCAACTTCATTGCTGTAGCCAAATATATGTACTTTAGACTATCCCAAAAAATCAAAGTGTTTTTTTTTAACGCACACCCCCTCATTTTATCGGTTTTGCCTTAAAAAATTATCCGAATAAAATTGTATGCAATTCGGACCACGGCAACCCATGCCTACTTGCAGTCCAAGTTTTTGCAGTTTGCGTGTTTTGTTAACTTACCATTTTACTTTTTATATGGCGGTATTACTATACTCGCTACAGTATCAGGGCATAATATCCCTGTAGTCAAATGTACCAGTTGTAAACTACCTCACAACTAGTATGAACCGCATGCCCAGCTAGTCAGCCAACTATCTTTTTTCCATGCAATCAACTGGTATTTTTAACATGGGGATGTCCTACGAGATGGAAATTGTCAGATTTCCGTCAGCATGAAGCTAGCTCAAAATAGGCATAAAAATCCCAGTCCAATTATGGGCCGAAAAAACTACTTTGGGAGTCAAAAAATAAAATGAATTCATGAATATACAATAAAAAACGTTTGATAAAGTACACTTTAATATATTACACATTTTTATTTAGCAGCCTTAGATTTGCCAATAATTAGTGTTAATTTTTTTGAGTATTAATTAAAAGGAATAATAAATAAATACAAAAATGTTTCAAACTTTCGAACATAAATTGAATGAATGAAATGAATTTTTCATTAAATGTTACTAAAAGTAAAATCTTTCAGGTACAATGAACACTATATTTTTTACCTTTTTTTAATATTAAATATGCAAAAAAACACTTTAGTTAAAAATAAAATAAATACCTTGGTTAACTTTCGAGTGAACTTAAATAAAAATAAAAGTTTTCATTAAATTAAATTAGATTTATTAACTTTGCACATCCTTTTCCTGTCCTTTCTTTTTAACATTTTATAAAAGAAATAGTTAACGCTTAAAATTTGAGATTTGGATAATAACAAAATAAATAAATAATTCATGCAGTTATTGAAAATTTTTAATTTTTGTCTATAGTGTGGTTTGTTGATTGATAATTGAAATTAATCAAATAATTATATTAATCGTGTAATTAACAACAGTCAAAAATAATTGAAAATGATTAAAAATACCAAATAATCATGTAATTAAAATTAATGAATTAATTAACAACTTTTAATTAATTATTAATCATTAAAAAGGTGCTAATATTGGTATTTAAACACTAAACGCTAATCCAAAAAAACGTGCTTTAATTAATAAAAATTATGATTACACTATGCGACAGTCAAAATCGGGATGGGATGAAACCAACGGGAAATGTTATATCGGTCAAAAACAAGTTATACGTGTCCCGGCGTTTCGCTTTATTCTGTTCATATAACGTTTTTCTATATAATCAACAGTTTTGCCGGTAAAAATAAATGTATGAAGAAAAAAAATATGTTTTGCCTAAAATATTAAATTTTGGAAATAATGTGGGTAATTATGTATGTAGAGTCGTTTACGTCGCCAGGAACAACTAACATTGCTGTTAGCACCTACATTTGTATATGCATTAGGGGTATTCTGTTTTGGGTTTTTTTTTTTTTTTTAATTTACATGCCCGTACACGATGAGAAACATTAAAAAAATGATAACTGCGTTTTTAGTTTTTTTTTTATTCAAAAAAGTACAGGCACCAAACGATTTTAAAATTTATATGCGCATATACACACAAACATGTACAAATACATTGGCCATATATGTATTGCTGTTGACCGCTTGGCTATTTGTTTTCGTTTGCTTTCTAGTTCTTATTCTTATTTTCTTTTGTTGTTTTAAGCGGAAGAACAAGCAATCAGCTGTTCACATGCTATCACCATGTTATGAATTCGCCTTGGTTGTGGTAAATATTTACCGCTATTTTGAAGGCAGAACTGAGTACTTCTCTGCCTTTATTTTCTTTCTGAATTGATTCAAGCAGTTTACTTTTTTTGTGCTCTCTGATCATAAACAATTAACATTTTTAAACAGTGGAAAAAAATGAGTTTCAAGAAAAGTTCTAATGCAATTTCAAGAAATTCGCAACGATGGGAAAACTCTTTGATTCGCTTCGAGAAAAACAAAAATAGACGGCAAGAAATAAAACAGGTTGATAAAAATTTGAACGCATTTTGCAGAATACCTAAGAAGACTGTTATAATAGGTAGATATAACTCATTGGCAAACGTCGAAAAAAGTAAAAAAGCAAGATTTAAAATTATTGCCGACGAATTGCTGGATTTATGGACAAAATTAAACTTTCCCAGTATAGCTAAAACTTCAATTGAAAGAAAAGTAGAAAATCTCTTAAAAAATTATTCGAAGTTTTTAAAGCGACCTAATGGAAAAGTTTTTGTAGTTTTTGGACAATTGTTTGATATAACCAATCCAAATGGCATTTGGCTGAGTGTTGAGGACAAAAAGTTGTATGCACTTCAACAAAATTCCAATGGAGATGTTGGATACACCACTGAAAAGAAAACAAATATTCATCCATCAAAAATTTCTTTACTTAAACCAGTCACCGTACAAAAGAAAAGTGTTATAAATGCAAGTGAATCTGATACAACAATATCGTCCCTGGAAGGAGATAATGAATTGTATCACCCTGAAACACCTACAAAAAGACTTAGAAAAGTCAAGTGTCAAACAAAGATCGCAGTAGACATGATAGAGAAAACAAGTTTGAGTAGCAAAAAAACAACTAAAGTATGTGAAATATTAGTGAAATCAGGCATTGATATTCCTGCACCCTCACAATCTGCCGTATATAAAGCCTCAATGAAATCAGCCGAGCGATTGGAAGCAAAATATATGACAACGTTACAAAAAGAGAATTGGTGTCTTCATTTTGACGGCAAAAAATTTGGAAAAAAGGAAGCGCAGGTAGTGGTATTGTCAAATGAAACTAAAGAAGTGCGAGTAGCGGTAATTGTGCTTGAGAATGGGAAAAGTGTCACAATATTTGAAGGTAAGAAATAAAAATTAAGATTTTATAATATAAATATAATATAAATTTATATATAAAAATATACATTTCTAACTCTACTTACATTTACAGGCATAAAGGAAATTCTAGACCGATTTTATTTGTGGAACTCAATTAAAATGATTGTATGTGATACAACAAATGTGAATACCGGGAAAAAAAATGGAATTGTTCATTATCTACAATCATGCTTTGAAGAAAAATGTTTGACACCGCCACAATATGTTGGTTGCCAACACCATGTTTTGGATTTAATTCTGAAGCATGTAATGAATGAATTACTTGTCGCAAAAGCAATATCACCACATATTCCCTACGAAATATTTTCAGATTTAATAACTGATTTTCAAAATCTGAAACAAAACTTCAAACAAAGCGGCGAAAAAATGAAAATTCCTAATATCAAATGGCGCGATGACATGCAGTATTTGTATGAACTTGGACAATACTTTAAGTATTATCAAAAACATAACGTTTTTCCATACATTAACTTTCGAGTTTTACCATCGCTCAGTAACGCCCGTTGGAACTCCAGAGCTATTCTTGCATTGCTCACATTTATACTCCTTCCCAATCACAGAGCAAAACTTTTACAAGTTTGTCAATTTATATGCAGTGCTTGGTACGAAGTATGGTTTTCCGACCAACGTTTTCGCAACAATAATTTTGAATGCTTGGAAGAATCTGTGAAGCCGTTCAAAACTGCCCATCAATGTTTAAAAAAACACTGGGTGAAGGAAGATTCAGCCATTCCAAATTTAAAACGGTCTAATATATGTGCCGAACGAGCCATTAAAGAAGTGAAAGATTTATATTCATTTTGTAAAAATGAAAGAACCTTAAATTTGAAATTTATTTCTTCTAATGTCAAATTAAATAACTAATAAATTAAATAATTAATAAGTATAACAAAACAAATGCAAACGAAAACAAATAGCAAAGCGGTCAACACCAATACATATATGGCCAATGTATTTGTACATGTTTGTGTGTATATGCGCATATAAATTTTAAAATCGTTTGGTGCGTGTACTTTTTTGAATAAAAAAAAAACTAAAAACGCAGTTATCATTTTTTTAATGTTTCTCATCGTGTACGGGCATGTAAAACATAGGTTACAAAAATAGAATACCCCTAATGTGCATATTATGTACATATTTATGTACATACATATGTATGTATATAATTACACATAAAAACCCTGCAGCTATGTTTTTTTAAAAGCACCAACTCTTATCCATCTATGACATATGTATGTAGATTCTATGTATATCGCAAGGCTCGAGAACGGCTGAACCGATTTTGTTGAAATTTCGGACACCTGCTGCAGACGTTCAAAGGATGGTTATCGGCTAACAAAAATCTCGATATACAAAAGGGGCGTGGAACCTCTCATACAAACCGAATTTTTCATACTCCATATCTCTGGAAATGTTCATGGTAGAGTTCTGGAACTTGGTATGGAGATATATAAGATCAATCCCATATGCTTGCTGAAAAATTGGAGCTATTGAAAAAGAGGGCGTGGTATCTCCCATACAACCCGAATATTTCATACTGCATATTTCTGGAAGCGTTCATGGTAAAATTTTTGAACTTGGTACGAAAATGTATGAAAACAATCAAATACTCGTGGAGAAAAATTGAAGTTATTGGAAAGGGGCGTGGCACCTCATATGCAACCGAGCTGTTCGTACTGTATATCCCTGGAATCTTCATGGCAGAGTACTGGAACTTGGTATGGAGGTACTAGTATATGACATCAATCGCGTACTCCCATACAATACGAATTCATTTTCATACTGCATATCTCTGGAAGTATTCATGGTACAGCACTGGAGCTGGGTATGGAGATACATGTATGAATTCAATCGTATACTTATGAATAAAAATTCGGACTATTTGAAAAGGGGCATGCCACCTCCCATATAAACCGAATTTTATTTCTGGAAGTGTTTATGGTAGAGTACTGGAACTTTATACCGGCGTGGCAACTCCTATACAAGTCGAATTTTTCTTATTGCATATCTCTAGAATTGTTCTTGGTAGAGTACTGGAACTTGGTGTGGATATACATATATGAAAATAATCGCATAGTCGTGGAGAAAATATGGAGCTATTGAAAAAGGGGGCGTGGCATTTACCATACAAGCCGCATTTCATACTGCATATCTCTGGAAGTGTTCATGGTATAGTACTGGAACTTCGTATGGAGATATATGAATTCAATCCCATACTCATGGAGAAAAAAAGGGCTCTTTGAAAAGAGGGCATGGCAAAGTACAAACGTACTGACTTTTACTTATCTTTGAATATGAATGTTTATATTATTCTTTTGTAGGCATTTTTGTGAGTGAAATCCTATACGGCTGGAGGGATTTTAACAAAGTTGGCGCTGTAGTTAAGTTATTACTAAAAATCTTTTTTACAATCCGATTTGGCGAATATTCAAAACATGTATTGGAAACGGTAAAGGCAGTCCAATTGCAAAAANAATGTTTATACTATTCTTTTGTAGGCATTTTTGTGAGTGAAATCCTATACGGCTGGAGGGATTTTAACAAAGTTGGCGCTGTAGTTAAGTTATTACTAAAAATCTTTTTTACAATCCGATTTGGCGAATATTCAAAACATGTATTGGAAACGGTAAAGGCAGTCCAATTGCAAAAAAGAGCTGCTAGGTGGTGCTGCGGTCGAGTTATTACTAAAAATCGACAAGAAAGAAAAGGTGCCGTGAATGTCAGACTAAATCGACCTATTGAACCATTGAGCTACGATTGGCCCAATGGATGAGATTTGCCAACATTATTATGCGTTAAAGCTTCATTCGGAGACACCAGGGTTGAGTTGTGCAGTGGTAAATCTCAAATTACCACCTGTCGAAATACCTTAAAAGCCAGTTTCATGAAAGCAATTTAATAAAAATTTATTTTTTTACTTGAATTTAATATGGAACCTGACAGAAAAAAATCATTTTTCACTTAAATTGTTTTCATTAAACTAGATTTTAAGGTATTTCATCTGAAATAAGTCTGTGTATGTACATTAGACTGCATCACCAAAAAAAGTTGCAGTTTTTCCGCCGGGATTACAAAATTTATTATATTTTAAGACGTCCACCAAAATATTTCGAAAAAATATTAAGATTTAAGTGAGCTGGACCGATTTGAAAATACCTCCAAAAATGGAGTTTTTTATGAATAAAAATAGTTTCTTAAAGAACTTTTTGAAAAAAGTCCCTTCAGATGACTAAACAGATTAGGCTTAAAAAATCTGCATAAAAATATTAAAAAATATTTTCAACGGAATCGTAATAATGAGATTTTTGATGCTGTTTTTTTACTTTTTTCACAGATTGATTTACGAAAAACTTAAATAACTGGTCCAAAACTATTCTGATTTAAACTTATGGGATCTCGGTAGAAAGGTATTTTCCCAATATTTTTATTTATGTGCAAAAAAAGTCATTCGTATCCCATTATCTTTTTTCAAATACCAACACATCTTAATTCAACTTTGAATGATGTTCGTTCATCCTACCTTTCTTTTGCATCCTTTGAATGAGCTTATTAGCAAAGGAATAAAAATCCTGATAAAATACCTATCCAATGATTCCTCATAAGTCTAAATCGGAAGAGTTCAGTTATTCAAGTTTTCCTTATACCAATCTTTAAAAAAGTTAAAAAAACAGCACCAAAAATCTGATTATTACGATTCCGTTAAAATTTTTTTTTATTTGTTTAAATATTTTTATGTAAATTTTTTAAGCTTAGACCGTTTTGTCATTTGAGGGGACTTTTTCCAAAAACATCTTTAAGAAACTATTTTTATTCATTAAAAACTCCATTTTTGAAGGTATTTTCAAATCGGGCCAGCTCGCCTAAATCTCAATATTTTTCCGAAATATTTTGGTGGGCGTCTTAAAATATAATAGATTTTATAATTCCAATGGAGAAACAGTACCGATTTTTTTTTGTATGGGGATTGATGCAGTCTAATGTACATATATATATAGGATTTCTGTTTAACAATGATACGCACCCATTTTGAAATTGCCACCAACTATATGATAAAGTTTCTAGGGCAGATGCACTATAGCTCCGGATCATTGTGCCGCCAGGGAACTTCTTCATGAACATAACACTTTCGTTAGGTTATTTAAGGCGGCAAACGACCACCAAACCAAAAATTTTACCTGATGAATGTGCCAATGGAAATCGTAAACGTGGACTTTTGGAGAAAATATTGGACCAAAATGTTTAAACTAAAAATCTAATTTTGGGCGGGACGAAGTTCGCCGGGTCCGCTAGTAATATATATTCGTATCTAAAGGTAGTAGCAATAATTTTACGATTGTAGAAGTATTAAGTAGGGAGCTTACAAAAATCAATAGTAATAATTTAGTTTTTATAAAATCACTCATACGCCATGTATATACTATTATGATAATAAGCAACTACTTTACAAAAATCAACACCAGGGTGAGCTGAAAAATAAAACATAAAAGAAAAAAAAGAGCTAAAGTCTGGGGAACGTCCTGCTAGAGAACAAGGCGAGAACAAAAGTTTTGAAAACTCAACGTGGAGAATGATACTAGTATTTTTCCTGATTAGTTTGGGGTTTCACTGCAGGGATTTAGTAAATCTGCGTTTTTAGTTTTTTACTAGGTAGTCAGGATTTTTCCAAAGGACCATAAATTATAATATGTTTCTAAAAGTTTACATAAAATATGGATAAATGGGTATCAATTAAAAAAAAAAATCAAAGCAAGATTAATTATAACTTGTGCTTTCAATTAACCTTTTGTAACATGTCATGTCAAAAATGTCCTTTAAAAATATTTTCCTTGAAGATTTTTAATTTTGAATGCATTTGAAGAATCTTAGTTTAATTTAAATCCTATAAATGTATATAAGGATATTGAAGAATAAAAATTACAAAGATGTCCTTGGGAGCAATCCTAAAGTAATATTAAAACTTTAAAGATGCAGTTTTTCTGGAAATGCGTTCAAATATGGGAAACAAATCGAATTTTTCGCATTTCCGAAGTTTTCATGGACGATTTGGTAGCCTTAATTCAAGTTATTAACTAAAACTTCAACAAACAGTCGGCAAGGGTTATCGTTATCTTACAACCATAAAACTTCATATATATGCTATTTAGACTAAAAAGCATAAATATAGTGTGTATGAATATCAAAATTTGCAAAAAATTTTTTTCCATATAAAATTTTGCAAAATTTTTTTCCCATATATTCTTGGGCAGTCTAATGTACATACATACCAATATATGTAACTAAAAGTGCGAAGCCAGTTAAATCTCAAAATTCTTAATACTTTCGGTTGCGGTGCACTAAACCACTGATTGTTGTTCTTTTGGATTTCAATACACATACATAGAAGTTATGTCAGTTATTAAGCCGCTGTCATGTTAGCCACAATCATGGTTTGTATTTTAGACTTTGGTTTTGGTCAATGTTACGACCAGTGTTGCCACAGACAAATTTTTTTTCCTACCAAAACTTCCTACCAAAATCAACCAAAACCTACCAAAATTTTATTTAAGTTTTTAATATTTTTTTAATGACAAGGCATCGAGATTTCTGCATAAAAATCATTAAAGCGTTATTAAAACAACAGATTTGTAAAATAATAGCAAGAGAAGATATCGCCTAACAAGGCAACGCCTTCAAAGAATGAACTGTTTTTTCGCTCTCCCGTAAAATGTGAGTGCCGTAAGATAGGCGGTTTTGCAATTGGGCGATGGGCGGTTTTGCAAAAACATCGACTATATTATTATTATTACGTCTGGGATACACGCGCTGCGACCTTAGAAGATCTATTGTTCTTAACCCTAATTGTAATCATTCCAACCTTATTCTCTTTCAAAAGTTAGGCAATCTGGAGGGTGTCTTGTTTAAATAAAATTTTGGATGAAGACAATCCTTCCCCAAAGTGTATCAGTCTGGTATTTATGATAGGTGGGCAGTCACATAGAATATGCTCTGCAGTTTCCTCCACCAGCTCACTAAAGGCTAGGGACCATGCAAGTGCGTTTGGGCTCCACGCATTGCGAGACAGTCAGCTTTCGTTGCCTTCAAACCCTTCATGTCCCGGAACCCCACACAG